GATAGTCGGCCGCACTGCTCTCCGGCTTGATCAGGAATATGTTGGTGAGGTCCAAGTAGGAGAGGCCCGGCCCATTCTTCGGCCTCCTCACCCTCTTCGGCTTAGCTGCTCCCTTCACGGCAGACACCGGCCTCGGGCACGGAACGGCAGCAGAAGTGGACGCCCTGTCCACCGCTCGGGACGCGCCTACGTCCTCACCCTCTGAAGAGGAGGCGGACTCCTCGTCCTCGCCCTCCTCGTCCATCAGCTCTCCGGATTTGTAGGGGCTCAAGCGCTCTATCTCCTCTTCAAACTCCTCGAGCACCTCGTAGTCAAGCGACCTCGTGGAGGGCTGGTCGTCGTAGGGGTAGTAGTCCTCGTTCAAGCTCTTCATTACTACTACTACGGGCTTAAGGAGAACAACTTAAGATCTAAAGGTGTTTAAACGCCTAACACTAGATCAACTACCTAGGAAGCAAAGTATGAAAAGCGAGGAAGATCGTGATGAACACTAACCTCGGACAACGAAGAACAACGAAGAACAGGCTTGGGAGTTTATCTCTCTAGAAAATCGGCCAGCACTTCGACAAATTCAGAATGCAAATGTGATTCCTCGTCGGAGGGGAAGGGGTATTTATAGACCCCCCCACCAACGGTCACTACACGTGGCACTCTCCCAATGGCCACATCAACGGCCACCACTGGGAGGCCACCACGTCACCAACGGGCCAGGACCAACCCATATCAACGGCCCACCGGCAAATCAGACTCTACGGCCTACACACGTTCAGCGGCTTTACAACTGCCAGCAAGCGCCCACAACGTCCCACTTACTCGCCAAGATCACAAATGCCAAACAATAAGAAGATGGCAACGGCCAGGTACGTAACGGCCACAGAACAAAGGGGACAAATAGCCCACAGCCTTCGGCTCCTCGTAACAACCCTTGATGATAACTCTCTACAAGTGATCTGCGCACAAGGGTTCTCCCACAGGGTTACCTTGGCCAGAAAATCGCCATGAGAGTTGGATTCAGGGGGACCACGGAGATGCCGCTTCGGCCAGGGACTCAAGCAACTCCTTCACCCCTCGCACTCCTCGGCCTGAAGCAGTGGGGGACTGGGGGACTACACCGGCCTCAACGAAACAAAGAGTATAAACAAGGTAACCACAAAACATGACCACATCATCCACACAGCACAACGGAACCTCATCGGCCAAAGGCCTAAAACGTCATTAGCGACGGCCAACAAGCCACTAGAGGCAAGGACACTCATCGTCCTCCGCCAACAATTAATTTTGACGGGCCCTTCGGCCAAGAACACGAAGGCCAACCAGCAACGGCCAAAAGGAGTGCGCGAGCACCCTCATCGGCCACCCAAAGGAAAGGACGCCATCGTCCTCAAAGCAAGGAACAACCTCACCGGCCCAAACATAAACTTCAACCACCAACGTCCAGGAAAGGGAAAGCGCGCCTTCAACGGCCGACATCGGAACAAGACACTCATCGTCCTCAAACGAATACGTCAAGGAAATGACGGCCTCCCCGCCCACAGCGAGGAGCAGGTAACGGCCAAAGCCCATAACAGGATCACCAAAATGGAAACAGCGCCAGTACCGCAACGGTTAAAGGCCTGGAAATGCCCGCGTCGGCCAAAAGCACAAAGCACAGAAATCTACTCTCCTTCACTTCGCCTACGTCTCAGCTTAGAGAGTGGGGGACTCCTGATGGAGTATATGGGTCTGAGCCCCAGGACCCACATACTCGGAAGAACAGAAAGCACAAGACAACGGAGTGGCGCCCTCGTCGGCCAAGACGCCCCCGTCGGCCGAGAAGAAGCCAACTCGGATTGTGGTCCTGAGTCCAAGGAACCCGGGTGCCCTCGTCGGCCGTGCCCTCGTCGGCCGCGCCCTCGTCGGCCACGAAGACCTCCCAGAATCGGATTATATACTTGCTCATTTGTACAGCCCATTAGAGGCTTTGTATTCGGCCCAGTAGCGGTCCAGTTGTAAATGGGCCTCCCAAGCCCAAGGCTTGGGAGCCCAACCCTAATTTTCTCTATAAATACTCCCCTTGGGAGTAGTTATAGGGGTTACAAATTCATTCTATTAAAGCATATTATTGCATTTCTCTCTCTAGCTCTCACTTCTCTCTAGATATACTATATCAACTATACATTATGTATAAATATATTATTAATTAAATTGTATATAACTTAGAATTGAAACTTGCATTTAATAATTGAAAACAGGGTTAATGGGAATTAAGAGTAAAAATGTATGTCTCAAATAAGCATTGGAAAGATCAAACTACTGAGTTCTCAAAAATCATCAAGGACAAAATCATCTCTAAGGCCTTCATTGCCCTAGTCATCATCATCATGAGTAGGAGTAGGTGGTGTTTGGGCATAGTCATCTTCAACATCTTCAACATCATTTGCAAAACTATCTTCTTCATTGTCCATGTCTTCGTCACTCAACCTTAATGAATATTCAAACCACGGCGTCGATGATAAACTGGTTCTCCAAGAGATCTACTAGTTCTAGGAAGATTGTGACTCTCAAGATTGTTTGATGCACCGGCAACTTCATCAGTTTAACTCCATAAAAGATCATCATCGGATGATGAACAACATCATTGTTGACTCATTCATTGTCTCATTGGAACTCTTCAAATATTAACGGGTTGAAGCTATCCTCTGATTATAATGAATAAAAACCAAGTCATTTAACCTCTTATGCTTCAAGTTGCTTCTTCTTTTTGTATGAATTTAAAAAAAATGATTAGTATTTTGATTTAATTAGTCAAAATATTATATAATTTGTAAATGTAGTTAGTACTCAAGTACTACAACTAACAAACTCAAAAGTGATCCAATTACGCTCAAAGCTAGAAAGAGGTACAACAGAGATCAATAATGCGTTTTGCGGGTGATTGTAGTTCAATAGTGAGTCCACCAAAAGCATCTCACCAATCAACTATAAATTAGTCACAAATAAAATATTAGTTACTTTTTAATATATTTAAACTAATTTCTAAGTACATTAAAAAGTCTCACTTACGACTACTCTTAGTTTTTTGTTGCTTGATCGCGAGCTACTTTGCAAAATGTCCTTGCAATTTGTCATAATTTGTCGTGATTACTTATCTTGATCTTCAGTATTTCATCGGTGACCATCTTTTCAAGCACGTCGTTAAACATCTTTCGTTGTCTTGATGCAAATGCGGAATCAGTCTATTTGAGATCCGAATATTTAGAAGGATTTAAAAACAAAGCAGCTCCGTATAATTTGACCTACATTTGGACTTGCAATCGTGTCTCAATGATCCCAACCAGGTTTCTCAAAACTCTAGGCCTATTTTCAAATGACACACCGATTTTTTTATTGGCATAATCCTAACTATTGAAAGTTCTGGCATAGCTGATTTCTCATCAGCATCAACTAGAAGTGGTTGTGAAGGAGATATCGGTGTGTGATATGTTTCATTACTTGGACTTCATAATTCAGAAGGATGGTGAATTAGATGGAGATGTATCTCATAGAATCAGAGTAAGGTGGATGAAATGGAAGAGTGCATCATGATTTCTATGTTATCGAGGTATGACGAATATATTGAAGGGTGAAATTTATCGGGTAGCAATTAGGTTTGCATTAATGTATGGCTTAGAGTGTTGACGGTGAAACAATGTAACATTCAAAAAATGAGTGTGGCAGAGATGCGTATATTGCATTGGATGTGTGAACATACAAGAAAAGACTATTTGAGGAATGAGATAATCAGACAAAGGTGGAAGTAGCACCTATAGAAGATAAGATATAGGAGTTCCGATTGTGGCGGTTCTTACTTCGGAGATAGAATAGAATATAAAGACTAAGTGATGCACCTGTTCAACGAGTTGAGAGATGGAGAGTAGAGGCGGAGAGGAAGACTTAAAGAGACTTGAATTAAAGGAATCAGAACTAATATGTTTCTTCTTGGGTTGGATGAGAGTTTGGCTTTGGAGAGAGCAAAATGGAGGACGCATATTCGTGTGAAGGATTGATCTCTTTTCTCTTTTTTCTTTCTCTTTTTCTTTTATCTTTTATCTTCTTTATCTTTCTATGTTCTTATGTTATTTTTATCTTTTATCTTTCTAATGTTCTTTTATCTTTTTATCTTTCTTATGTTCTTATGTTGTTTTTATCTTATATTTATCTTTATCTTATTCATTTCATCTTATTTTATCTTTTATTTCATTGATTCATGTTAACTGACCTCAATTTTTTGGGGATTAAGGCTTGGATGTTGTTATTATTGCAATGGATATGCCATATGAGCATTAGAAAAGTCAATCACTTATGCTTAGAAAAAATCACTAAACGACACAATGATTCAGTATGATAGCATTTCTGATTATCTAAATTTTAGCCCCAGAACTAATTCAATTTCTCCTTTGCTGAAATACATTTAACCTTGCAATTTATTTGCTACTCCTTCCTTTTCAATCCAAGTGTGGCTTTAGATAAAAACAGAATGCTCCAAAATAAGTGCTTTTTGAATATCAAGAAAATGCATTAGTGGTTCATTTCCACAAATGAGCTTCTTCAAATGAGTCTGACACTTGCTTGAGAACAAATGAGATAGTAAATGGTATTGTTTTAATTTTTCAAAAAGTCTCCCCCAAAAAAAGAAATCTTAGTCCACTTAATAAATTTAATTGTGCAAATTCCTTTGTGAAAAATTTCAGTTCAGCAATTTTCTGACTACAAATTCCAGTCCCTACTAAATAGATTCACTTCAATCAATTCAACTACAGTCAGTCAATGGATAATCTCCCGAGACCATCCATCTACAACTACAACTCTACAAGCATCTTTAAAAAAAAGAAGAAAAAAAAGTGGCAGTATTAGCTCTCAGTATGATGATGATGAGTCAATGAATCATTCATATTAGCTCTCAGTATTCGCATAACCTATACCAATAAAAAATGAATGAAAAGCACACATATGTAACAATATTTACATACAAATCGAACTACCTGAGCCATGCTGATGATGAAAGTGCGGAACTTGGGGTGTCGCCCGGCTTCCGTCTTGAGCCGAACGGCAATGGGTTTACTCAGGGTCTTCAACGCGAGCGTGCCGAGCTTCAAAAGTGGCAGCACCATTATTTCCTACTTTTTAATCGATAGTATCTCTACCCAGATCTTGGGCATCTAAGGACTCACGAATAGCAATTGTCTCTCTTAATTCCCCAGTCCATATATGATACTATCGTATATGTGTAGATGATGTTAGAGCACGAAAACTAGAGCCCGACTTGATTAGGAGGATATTTGACCTGAGACAATGAACCGATGATGAATAAAAAAGGCTACTTGGTACCTTCTTTAGTAATATAGGGTACGTGAATAATAGAATAGTACGTACGTTCGTGTATAATACGTCACAATTTTATAAAATACGGCTTAATATATGTTATATACGTTCGCAGCAAGAATAAGGATACGTACGTGTTTTAAACTTTTAATAATTTAAAAATACGACATATAATATGTGTTTATATTTACACTAATTTCACTAAATTATTGATAGAAAGAAATGATTAGTTAACATCTCAACATTTTTCAACGATTTAAGATGCAATTTTTCTTACAAAAGAAATATATATATTCTTAGATATATGATGTAACAACTATAATAAAAAAGCCTATTTTAAATAAAATGATTCTAACATTAAATTTTCTATGGAAATCACATGAAGAAAACTAAATCCAAAATAAAGAAGGATAGTAACAAGTTTTCATGACAATAAACGCAGTAATCACGAAAGAAAAACATAAAACACCAAAGTCTAAAATCTAAAGAAAATCAACACTAAAGTCTCTAATAAAGTCTCAAAAATCAAAAGTAAAATCTTCAAACCCATCTGCATCATCAACATAAGTCACACAGACTTCTGAAAGGGATGAGGCGGGATGAATGAGACTAGCATTATCAGCACTAGTATCATCAAATGAACTGCCTGAAGTCCCAACCGATCCATTCTCATCCACAAATTGGGAGCATGTTTCAACTTCTTCTTCATAATCAGGCCACTCTGTGAGCTTGCTTAAATCAACCGGATCAGCATCTCTAAACATTTTTTCATCTGTTTTTTGCATCATCATTATGTTCATCCTACAATATACAAGCATGCCTAGCATATCTGGACTGAGCCGATTACGTTTCTTTGTTTGGGCAACTTCAAATGCACTCCAATTACTCTCACATGATGATGAGCTGCATGGTTGACTCAGTATGCGAATGACATATTTCTTTAATGTTGGCACAGAATCACCACAGAACTCCCACCATATTCCTTAAAATATAAAAAATAATTAACAAAATAATATCAAATAAAAATAAACTAAAGACCATTTTTAAAGAAGCACCCAATTTACAAAATAAAATCAACTTACGAGGATGACATGTCTTCATCAAGCTATATGTTGTTGCGTTGAATAATGAGGAAGGCTTCAAAATATAGTCACGATATTGCTTCGTGAATAAATCCTTCTCATCCGATTTGAGAACTTTCTCAAATAAGAAAAACATACCTTCTTTCATCTCCATTGTTTGCTTAAAGTCGGGACTAGTCATGTACAATGGATCGAGAGATGCGGCAAATGCATGAATGGGATGGGTGATATTATCTTTTCTCCTCACCTCAAATAAAGTCAACATATGCCCATATTTATCTCTATCTTTTTCAGACCTTTTCTGGAGCCCAACCTTAGCCAATTCCATTGCTTGGTACAAATATCCAGCCGTAGATCCATCACCATCAAATAAGCGGAGAACTCTGACCAAAGGTTCCGAGGCTTGCAAACACTCTCTCGCTTGAGACCAAAAGACATTGTTTTGAATTAATCCTGTCACAGCTATAGCTTCTCGTGACTTGCTATATGACAAATCTCTCCATTCAGAAGAAGCCACAAGAAATCTCAATTCATTCTCAAGTGTGACTACAGATTGCACAACAAGAAAATTGGAAGCAAACCTAGTAGTACAAGGCTTTTTCAGTTCTCTTCCTTTTGTAGCTTTTCTCATCAAAGCAGTGACAATAGTGTGTCGATACATGTATGCTTGAATGGATTTTGCATCATCAACAACACTTTTCATCCAAGGGATTTGTTCATAGAAGTCTTTCAAAAGCAATTGAATTCCATGTGCAGCACACCTCGTGTTATACATGGTGGTGTACTTTTGTACAAGCATGTTTCCAGCAGATACAAAATTTGAACCATTATCACTGATGAACTGAACTACATATTGAGGCCCAACCATATCAATAACCTTAGAGGTTAAGTGACTCAGAAAAAGACCTGACTTCTTATCTTCTGAAATTTCAACAGATTGTAAGAACACGGAACCTCTAGGACAATATGCAATAAAGTTAATGAAACGTCGTCCTTTCATATCACTCCAAGTATCAGAAATGATGGAACAGCCAGTGTCTTCCCAAGTCTTCTTAACAATTTCTACATATTCATCAGCACGTTTTTTTGCTCTTGGGATAAGTTTAGTCCTTAAAGTTGAGTAGCTGGGCAATTTATATGCAGGACCATACTCGCCAATGGCTTTCACAAGATTGATGAATGACTTTTGTTGCACAACATTGAAAGAAATATTATTTTGAATGAAAAATGTAGCAAGCAAGTCATCTAACTCAGTCTTGTCAAGTTTCTTTACCATTTCAGGCATAGTACTTTGATACAATGAGGGCTGAGAAGACATACCTCCCTTAGTATTTAAGCAGGGAGAAGAAACCCCAAAAGTACCATCACTTCTTATGTGTTTATCACTTGAATCCACTCTCATCCTCTTGGAAGGATTTTGGCTAATGGTTTGACACACTTGAGATTGTATCTCTGAAGAAACTTGTGTGCAAATCTCAATGTCGTTGCCTTTTAATCCAGACAAATGAAACTTGAGTCTAGTTAGACCACCAGAAAAAACGTGTTGGCAATGCTTGCATTCAAATTTTCCATTCATATCCACAGCATGGGTCCAGAGCGGGTCCCTCTTTCTAACCATGGTTCTATAAAAAAAGAGCATAAGACAATATAAATTTATTATTGACGGCCATAAGTGGTAAATGTATGATGAAAAAGATTAAATTTTCAAATACTAACATCCCGTTTGGTAACACTAAAATTGGCTGAATTGGCTGATTCTGCTGAAATTTATGAAGTTCTGGCTGAAGTGGTTGTATTGGCTGATTCTGCTGATTCATGAAAAAAATATATTTAAAATATTTGTTATTAATAAATTAAATAAAAAATTATATGAAAATTTGCTAAAATGATTCTCTACAGTAACTTCAGCCAATACAGCCAGAAAAGTAACTCCAACCTTACTTTTTCGGCTTACTACAAACTTCAGCGCGTGAAATCAAAAGTTACGTGTTTGATGAAAAAGCTGGCTGATAAGCCTGATCAGCCGAAAAAATGGGTTACCAAACGGGCTCTAAATTAATACTCCTAAAAGTTAAACATCTCGAACATACACTGTGGATTCGATGGAATACACTGTACTTCACACGTATGGAATACACTTTAAATTTTCTTAAAGTTAGATCGATGAACATACACTGTAGATTCGATGGAATACACTTTAAATTTTCTAACGTATGGAATAGATTCAATGGAATACACTGTAGCTTGATGCCCTGATATGACATACACTGTAGCTTTAAATACATACTCAAACATATAAAATCACGTTGGAGAATACACTGTAGCTTGATTTTAAAGAATATACTGTAGTTGATAAGAGACTAACCTTGGAGGCTGGAGCTTTCCGCCGCATGCTAGGCTGCTACTGTGCTAGGTCTGTGCTTTACGGATTTAGTCTACTTTTTAGTTGGGCAATTGGGCTTTTTTTAATTTATATACGTATAAATATGGATTGATACGAGAATTATACGTTTTACCTTCAAAATACGCGTATTTTAACGAATTTTTGGACAAAATACGTAATCGGATGTTTTATACGTGTATTATACGTTCGTGCGTATTAACTAACAAAGCTTGGTACAGGCCAGCTTAATTGTCATGCGAAGGCTATTTTATGTAGGCACACTTAATTTTGTGAGAACCATATGGTATAGGCCGGCACAATTAAGTGTTGTTCGTGCTCCTCTTCACTCTTTGAGTAATTCAAGATATCATCTATGAACACAATCACGAACTGATCTAAGTATTTATGAAATACCCGGTTCATCAAGTCCATGAATGTCGTTGGAGCGTTTGTTAGCCCAAACGACATGACTAAGAAATCGAAGTGACCATACCTTGTGCGGAAAGCACTTTTCGGTATGTCATCTTCCTTTATCTTCAATTGATAGTACCCCGACCTCAAATCGATCTTCGAAAACACTATTGCCCCTAGAAGCTGATCAAATAAGTCATCAATCCTACGCAAAGGATACATATTCTTGATTGTGACCTTGTTTAGTTAACGATAGTCAATGCACATTCGAAGCGTTCCATCTTTCTTTTTCACAAATAGAACCGATGCTCCCCACGGGGAGTAACTCGGCCTAATGAAACCGTTATCCAAAAGCTTTTGCAATTGGGTTTTCAACTCGTTAAGTTCTGTGGGTGCCATCCGGTATGGCAGTGTAGAGATTGGTTTGGTGCCGGGTTCAACCTCGATCACGAACTCAATCTCTCTATCGGGTGGAAGTCCTGGTAAGTCTTTTGGGAAGACGTCCGGATACTTACACACTACCCTCACATCATTGATGTCTATCTCCTATTTGGTTTTATCTACCACGTATGCTAGATATGCGTGGCATCCCTTTCTCATCATATTCATTGCTCTCACGGCGGATATGATGCGACTGTTTGATTTGCCTCTATCTCCCTCAAAGCGTAAGGTCAATCCTTCACCACTTTCGAGTTCAAGAACCTTCATGTAGCCGTCGACCCTAGCATGATGCTTCTCAAGCCACTCCATTCTGAGGATTGCATCGAACTCAATCATACTCAACGGTACGAAATCACACGTCAAGGTCTGGCTATCTCTTTCGATATCATCCCCTAAGGTGTGGATACCAATAAAGTTTGAGTCATCGGTACAAGTGGTTCCTTGAATCCCCCGGCGAACGCCTCACTCACAAATGATCGTTGTGCCCCGATATCGATAAGGATTCTCGCACTTCTCCCATTAATTTTTAGTGTTCCTACATTTATAAACCATGTAAGGTACTTTCTAACGCTTCTAGACATTTCTAGGGGGTTATTACATTCATATTAGTGTTTAGAGTCAAGAGGGAGGTCCAAACGTCGAAAAACGGAGCGAAAAATGAAGTTCAGGGCACCT